GGTGCTTCACCATGTGCAGCAGCGGTCCGAAACGTGTTAATGATGATAGGTTTTTGACGTGGACGACTTAGTCGTAGGACGGCTAGTCGAGATGATTTCAGAATCCCATGTGAATCGACAAGATTAACATTAGAAGGGTGGACGACAAAGCACGCCTCCAACGTTTCGTGTTGGAACTTTCTCACCACGAATGATGGGAGTCCAGTCCCATGATGGGAGCTAATCTTCAAAGGAGCCTCTGTCGAGTCAAAAGAGGCAACTTCGAAGTTATGGTTGATTCTTTCGAAAGCATCACGGGAAAAAAAGTTTACGAACTTCAGCCAAATTGCTGCAAAAAAGAAGCAGTATCTAGCCAGGCGCTGTCATGCCGTGATTTTGTTTTCGATGCCATTGTATATAATGCAGTCTCTGCCAAGCTCAGTGGGGTTGTATATCTAATTTCCATCATTCGAAGATCAGCAATTCACAGGATTACATCTCTAAATAACACAATGAAAATGTTTAATGCAACATAAAATATGAAAACACTTTCAAACTTGAAACAACAACCAATAAGAAACAATGTCAAGCGAGAAAAACAACAAAACAGCGAGATATTAAGTTACTTGATGAGGAAGAGAGATTAGGCCGTTGTAAACTCAACAAGATTCTCATTTAAAGAAGATCGGTGATAGAGACGGGCATTTCCTCAATTACGGTGTTGTAAAATTGTTCGATATCTTTGAGCTGACGAGCATCATTGTCAGTAATGAAGTTGATGGCCACTCCTTTTCGGCCGAAACGCCCAGAACGACCAATACGATGAATGTAGTTTTCCCGGTTAGATGGCAAGTCGAAGTTGATTACCAGTGAAACCTATGCAATGCCCTTTTCGCAAGCGAAAATGATAAACCGATATTGAAATCTCACCTGCTGAACGTCAATACCACGAGCGAGAAGATCAGTAGTGATGAGAACACGAGAGGAACCCGAACGAAATTCGCGCATAATCACGTCTCTGTCTTGCTGTTCCATATCTCCATGCAAGCTGGATACGGTAAACTGTTTCTTTGTCATCTGCTCAGTGAGTTGTTCCACCTAAACGAAGAAACACTGCATTATGATCAAATGTTAGAAGGCCACTCTACCTTTCTCCTAGTGTTACAGAAAATAACAGCTTGAGTGACGTTAACGGCATCATAAAGATCGCAAAGTGTTTCAAATTTGAACTCCTAAAAATATGCTGCGATAAGCCATGCCTTTTTGAAGCAAGTAATAAATGCTCACGTCTTTTTGGACATTTATGTAGAACTGCCTGATACCTTCAAGTGTAAGTTCCTCTTTCTTCACAAGGATACGAATAGGATTTCTCATAAACCGATCCGTCACATCGAGGACATCAGTAGGCATAGTGGCGGAAAGCAGCACAACCTATAAACAACTCATTTGGAAAAGAATGCAAAAAAA